AAAATTAGCAAACAGAAAAATGAAAGGTAAGAGAAAATTTAGAAAAGAAATGTTGAAGTTGGTTGCTAGGGCAATAGGCAGTGGGATGCAGGGTAAAAAAAGATGAGGCTAACAGTGCAATTTTGCAGATCCTGGAAGATATGGATGAAAAGCTTTAATTGGATATGGAAAGAGAAATAATTTTGCAGGGAAGAGATATAAAGATGTATACATAGAGCTACACTGAGGATCTCCTTGAATTGTGCTGAGGATCAATGAGTATATAATCAATAAAATGACACCACTTTATTATCCATTTATTTCTTTACATTTAAGGTAATTTGGTATCTGTCATTTAATGAAGTATATGATGTTATCTTTGCTGATACTTCTAATGCTCTTATGGCATTTTTGTACTTGTATGAGGAAATTTAGTGAAAGGCATATTCAACTACTACGAGGTCTTTTCAGGTTCTTGTGCAGTTGGTTTATTCTGCCGCTATTATCAACATATTATGACATTTTACAGTGAGAAATAAATATTTATTTCTCAGATGAGATTTATTTCATACTGTCCAGATGATACTGTCTACTTAAATGTTAGGATGTTGTTGACTACCAGGCTTCCTTTTTCCTTTACTACTCTTATAATTCACTTTTGCTATTCACTTGAATATTTACTTGAAAACTCTATTAAAATGATTTAATCTACTGTACAGTAATGTATTCTGTCTGCTGCTGCTTTTGCTGATAAAGCAGAACTGCATACTTAATGTTCATTCCCCACTGCCTACTGAGCTCCAGTAGTGTATGTGAAGACTCCTGGAAGACAGTGGATAAGTAGGAAAAGGACAAGTGTCAGATGAGGTCTGAATTGGGTGATGAAGGAAGATATTTTGCAAAGTTTGGAAGGTCAACATTAGATGCCAGATGTCTGGTAGAAGTGATGAGTTAAGGTCTGGTCCTGTAGTTTCTATTTAACCAATTTGGAAACTATTAGATCAAGAGGGGAAAAAAATTTTGTTATGTGTCAGGGCCTTGAAGAATTCGCAGAACCAGTGGAAAAAAAAATCAGTGAGAGAGTGCAATTTGTTTACTGCAGCACCAAATAAAATAATTTATCTAGCTTTTGAAATGTATGAAGTTGCAAGTTTATGAATGCCTCGGCTTTCATTCTGTGTTTGTATTCTGTGATTGAGCTGACCTTCATTATTAAATAACTGCAAGTAATATTGCTGCCTGCTGAATGGGAGACGACGAAGGCAAATTAAGCGAATTCATTTGCATCTCTGTTTTATTGCATCTATCCAAGGAAAAGTCTCTGTAGTAGAGGACAAGCATTTTTGCAGTGTGAACATCCTTCTATCATAGCTCTAATTTCCACCTGTCTCACCAGAAACGGGAGACAATGTAAAAGGAAGGAAGGTCTCTTAGAAAGTTCCACCCGCTTCTCGTTTTTATGTCACCAAGTTGACTGCAGGTTAAGCACTATTTGCAGAGAGCTTAGGCAGCTAGATCTCCTTCAGGCATCCACAAGAGACTGCAGCCTCACAGGCCAGTGTCTGTTAGATTTTTATCATCAGAAAACACACTGTATAATGAGCTAGTCTGCAGTAAAGTCAAACACTCATTTTTCAAATAGGAGGGAGGTACAAAGGCTTCTCTAATGACAGTTTGAAACTCTGTCCAGTGAGGCTTTCACAGTACCTTCTACAGACATTAGGACCTTCAATGTCTTTATAATTAACTCTCTGGAAGCTTGAAGACAAGTTCTCTTCCACTAAAACGTCATTTAAATTCCTGAGGTTTTTATTTTGTGAACCTGTTAGACTCATCTTTTAATTTTCAGATTTGTGACATCTGTTAATTAGTTTTACAATAAATCCTCACAGTCACAAAAATTTGCCCAATTTATATGCTCAGAGTGTAAAATCCTTGGAGTTTCCACATTAACATTCTTAAGAGTCAGAAAATAAATAAAAAAAGTGGTCTATTTCCTTTCATCTTCTTAGAGGCTATTTAAAAATAAACCACAACAAACAAACACTCAATACTTTAATTCTAGTGCTTTTTAAGAAGTATCCTTACTAGCACTTGAAAATGAATGACAACCAAGTTGTAGAGCTATATAGCTCAAAAACCTCATTGGTTTTTAAACGTAGCATAGCTTCTTCAGTAATTCTGTGTACACAAATGTTGCCTAAATGAGTTTTTGGAAGTCTTTATTTACACAAAGGAAAACACTGACAGACTGAGATTAATTGCCTTTCAAAACAAGAAATGTTTAATGCTTTAAAAAAACTGTCTTGGAATAATTAGCTCAAAAACACGTTCTTACTCCTTTTCTTACTTAAGAAACGCATAATATTTTTCAGGAAATATGAGGAAGTAATATTTTTTATAATTGAAATCTCTATTCCCTAGATGTAACAAGCTGTATATGAATAGAATGCTTATATCTTCCCAGTGTTTGGATTGATAAATATCTCTCCATTGAGTCAGATGTGGTTAAAACTCTCCCTGCTTCTCTCTGTTTAAAGAACAGAGGTAGGTTAATTGGGAGATACTTTATTACCCACATGTGTATTTCACAATTTGTATTAGATAATAAAAGAATTTTACTGGTGTTAAAATGGTGATTTTTAAAAAGAAAACTAGTGAACAAAAAGTATAAAGAGCTTGGATAAGGAGTCAAGGTGTATTTGGCATTACTTTAAAGAAAATGTCAATACAAATATTGTATTTGGCATTACTTTAAAGAAAATGTCAGTTCTTTCTCCAGTGTTTTATTTATTTCACTGTTTTAATTGAAAGTGGAAATTCTATGAGTCCAGAGATCTCTGAACATTTGACAATTTGGACAAATCTCTAGTAATGATTCACAACTTTTTTTTTTTTTTTTCTTCTAGCTTCTGCCAGTTTGGTTAGGCAGCATGTGTATTATAGAATTGTCTAGAATCAAATATTAACATATTCACAGGAGATTCCCATAGTATGATAAAAGAGTAGTCTTCAGGACAGCCGTGATGAAAATCTAATTACATTTTTCTTTTTTGAACAGTCCTAAACTAGATTTTGATCTACAGTGATGTAGATCAAAACCAGCTAAGGGATCAGCGTAACGAAGCTTTCAAATATTGGCACTTATAAATGCATTATTTTTCCTTAGGTGTTGTAAATATTAAAATATTTTAACTAAATACTTAATATGAACATAGAAAAGGGTACAAGACAGCCTGGAGCAGAGAAAGCATAAATATTTAATTGCTTCTGACTAAAAGGTACTATATACATATGTCAAACCAACACCAAATGTCTTTGGATACTAAAAGCAACATGCAATTCGCATTTTCTTCCTAGCATCTGAACTATAAAATAAGCTTTTCCTGAGTAGTATTGTGTGATATAACTGCTGAAAGAAACATCTGCTCAACAGTTGCAATTTTCTCACTGTGGATTGTTCCAAATGATGTAATCTTTTCTCTTCTGTAATAAGTTAATTTTTATGTCTGAATCTTCATGTTTTGGCATTTGTCTAGGGTGACTACTACTATCCTTGGGCTGTGTTGGAATCTGAATGCATGGCCTAAGCCTTATATTTTTCAGCTAGAAAAAAAGAAAGCATGGAAAAATGTAGGATGATCCCAGGAATTTTATAAACTGTAGGAAAAATGTTCATGTCTAATTTCAGTATTAAAAAAATACATTTATAATAATATCATACATTTATAATAGATGGATTAATACATAGAAATCCTGTATACTTGTTACTCATTGTGTATCTAGTATGACTGATAATCCTGTATGTTGGTAATAATATTTTGCTTGCATCTGTGTAACTCTGATCTAGCATAAGTTCTACAGATGTCTGTGTGTAGGATCCACTTTAAAGAGTCAGATATACTTCAATATAAGTGGCTACATTTCTTAGGGTTAATCTGTGTATTACAAAAATATTGGCAACAAAAGTTGAATGAAATACAAAGAAGGAATCTGTGCATTTCAAAAAAGGGGAAAGGACTACAAGCAACTCCATACTCACTGACACCGGGTAGCATTTCAGATTAGCAAAAATGAAGTAAATTTTTGTTCAAATATCTCACAGTGCATTGTTTCTTGGACTTTATATAAAAATGAATATATAACCTACATTTTAGAATTCCAAATTGGAAGACCTTGGAAATTAACTCTGCAGGTGACTGGCACTCTATAGACCACATATAGAGGAACGCCTACATAGAAGTTCTGCACAATAACATTGTACTAAGCTGTGCAAATTCAAAATGAGATATGTGGTCATAATAAAATGAAATCTTGTTTAGGATTTAGTGGTTGTGTTAAAAGACTTTTCATACATAAAACATGTGAAATTTTAAAATAGATTAGCAGCTTGAGATTCTTTTCCTCATTGAAACCTTCCCTCTGTGCACAAATTACTATTGTATACTGAATATCGCAGTTTTCTTTATTACAGCTGGAGGAGACATTTGATTCAAGAAGCTCAGCTGTTTATTCTTATCTCATTACTACTTGGCCTTTTCATAGCTACTATGGGGAATAAAAGAAGAGGCTGATTGTTATCTTCACTATTTTTTTGTAGACTGTTTCTCAGGCTTGCAGCTATCAATGGCACTGATGCCCTTAATGACTTTTTTTTTTTTTTTTGAGATTGTTCAAATGGTATTCAAAACTAACGTTATATTCTTGCAATTTTAATTTGACTGATGAACTGGAAATATCTCACCTTAACGCAGAAGTGGTAGCCAGAATTATATTGCTATTACTGTTCACTTCTCTTAGGTACGTTCTCCAGCTTCCATGTTGCCAGAAACTATAGAGCCTGTCATATGAAACTGCAATATCTTGCTATGCTGTCAGGAGCAAATCATTCAAGTTTTGTATAATTACTAGTTTTACTTACTTGTCATTTTTAGTAACAAATGAAAGATTTGTAACTACTAGCCAGCCAACTGTGTGTAGTTAGAGTGCACACAGACTGATCTTTCTCTTGTATCATTTAGGTTTCTCTACAACAGTGGAATTTCTGTATGAATTGCAATATACATCAAATGAAATTAAATCTCATCTTGGAGCTTTGGTTGGTATGCATCTGATTCAAAGAAAACGAGATACAGAATCTGGAATCGTAACACTGATCTTTAATATAGTGTTTGCACCTAACAAACCAATGAGGTAAGCTCCTGTTCCTTATTTCCAACAGAAAATGCAATAAAATCCTGTCTGATCACTCTTATCTATTTAAGCACTTCCCTGCATTGTTTTCTTCATTTTGTTCTCACCTCTGAGGTCTCTTATTTTAGATTTTCTCACTTGCTACTTCTCAGTATGCTCTCTTTGGTATTAAAACTAACAGTGTTGTTTTTTTGAAAGCGTGCTAGATGGTTCTGTTGAGTTACTGTCTTAGTCTGTCTGTATATCAATTGACTTATAAACTTGGAGTTTTGAAAGACTTCCAATGAAAATTTGTTTTTTCTCACAAATTGTGGAAAGCATACAGACAAGATGGTTTGTAAGTCTTGAAAAACTTTTCCTAGATGAGTATGTGTGCGTATTCTTTGGCTGGATGGTATGGCTGAATTTGAAATTAGTCTGTAGGCCCCACTAACAACAGTCCACAGGACAATATTATTCTCTGTTGTAGCTGTGACGTGAAAAATTTTGGATTTACTTTCATTACATTATGTATCCCACCTCTTTAAAAATGAACTATGAAAGGGAGATCCTTTTGGAGTGAAAGAGAAGATGCACCTTACTTTTGAAGCACTCCAATGTGTATGGGAAGGAAAGATGTTCAGGAAGATGCAGGCACAGGGAAAATTCATTCAGAGGCTCAACATTACCAGCAAGATGAGGGAGCAGTCACTGCCAAATATCATCAGTTGCACACAAAGAGGGTATTTTTAGGGTGCAGGAGGGAACTGAAATAAACAAATAGAAAACCTTTAGGAAAGACTACCCTGTGCAGTGTCATTGTGTCAGATGGGTGGTTAATTAGAAATCTTTTTTAATTTCTACTCTGTCCTTTTTTGTTTTATTATTACTAGGTTTGGGTTATTTTTTTATCTTTGTGTACTTGAGATGTATGAGGCTTCATTAGTTCCTTTGTCTTCAGAATCTACAGCACCAACTCTCTTCTTAGATGGTCTGAAGACATCAGAGTCTGGAATTTTTCTAAAGTATATAGACCTTTGTCAGATCTATTTGATTCTAATATGGACGGCTAACATGTTCTGGACCAAATTCTCCTCTAACACCACAGTAAATAAAGAATAATGAGTAAAAAAAATCGAGTTAAACAAATTTAATTCAACAGAGAGTAAACAGAATAAAATCTCATTACTGTGCCCGTCATTTTGCTTCTATATTATTTCCTTTCTTGTACTTTGCTGTGAATATCAAGTGCTATTTAGTCTGCATTCTAGTCTAAATGCAACTGGTATGTACTATGCCACATAAAATTAAGGATGTATTCCTATTTAAAACCATCTGAATTTTCATTTTACATAGTTCTACCCACTTGAGTCTTATTTTGAACATTAGTTTACTCAGTTTATGTTTCATAATGTTGTTCTATGTATTGAATGTTTTTATCTGAAATTTTAAGGAATGAAGCAACTCTCGTAGTACAGTGCACTACAGGAGGTGTTTGGAAGTTTCCTATGCTGTTCATTGCTACACAGCCAGAAGTGGATGATGTTATCAACATTGAAGCAGTTGGCCTGAATAAGGAATCTATAGTTAGCTTTAATCTTACAAGCCAGACAAGGTAAAAATACTTATTTATAAAGTGTTTATGCAGTTTTCTGTGGCTAGAACTCACACTCAGACACATTAGATAGAATAGATTTGGGCAACAGAAACATAACTGGGCTGCAGCAATTTCAGTAATAACATCATTAATTTCAAATGCTGCATTGTATCGATAACAAATGTGATTTTGAAGCTGTACTGTAGAAAACAGAAGCACCCGACATTTAGGCTGTAGCCTCTCAAGAGAAAGTTTGTAGAATCCAAATATTTATGTTATGACTTTAAAGTTTTGCCCTAAAATGCATTTGTGTGTTAAAATGTGTAATACAATTTTAAGGAAGGTGTGTTGTGATATTAAAGGCTCACTAATAAAGCCTTAATGCTTTTACTAATAGATTTTTTTTCAAAGTACTGTATACTTAAAAAAAGTTGAAACCAATCCTTTTCATTGTGCTTTAAAAACTATTGGATGTGCCATTTTTCAGAGTATTCTTGTTTTATTATATAAGCGTGTTACAAATTCATCTCTACTCTGTGCTTTCACTAGATAAAATAATCATGTCATTCTTCAGTATTTTAAAAGTTCTGCAGAAATCTCTGTTAATATACTTTTTACATGGTTTTCATTATTTTCTCAGAGTTTCAAAATGTTATAGCTAACCCATCGTGCCATTTGTCTACAACAGAAGGTGAAGGAATAAATTGTGTAATATTGATAGATAAGTTTTAAAATAGTAAACACTGAACCTAAAAGAATCATGACACTCACAATCTAATTAGCGTAAGGAAGTTTTATAATTTCCTTTTTTCTTTAAAATTGACTTTTTTCCCTGTATATCTAGAAACTGTGCGAGATGTGCTGACTGATAGTTAACTTTCATTGTAGATAACATGCTTTTGTAGCATCCCCAGCAGGAAGTGTCCTTGGTTCCAACTGATTTTTTAAAGACTATTTCCAAAAGCTGTGCATCTTAAGATGGACAGTTGTTCCAGCTTTTAGATAGCTGCCAGTGATGATAATTACTAAGGACTCTGAAAGAAAAATTCCTATCACAGTGTTCAAGTTAACAGCTTCAATAGAATGGGCTGTTTCAGGAACAAAATTGAAGGAATTGCTCTGGCAATACTGTAATCTCCTGGTAGGTGTTTGATAGCAGTGAAGAGACCTAATGTTCTCCAGAAAGGTATTATAAAGCCTGAATCATTATAGTTATATAAAGAAGGAGCCATGTTGAAAGACAGATACCCTTTTCCCCTTAAACAAATTCCAACATTATTTTACTTAACAAGGGTTCCCCCATAAATTTCAAATACCAAATGTAATGCTTACATGTACTGAATAAGCTCCATGTTGTAAACAGTGCCAACAACGGCTCTGTAAGTTTTATATTGCTTCATCTTATCTGTGATTTGCTTAGCAGCTTTTAGTGGTGGAGGTTTTGTTATAGAAATAGAACAGTCAGCCAACCAACGTTTAGCACACAGGATCTGCAGTTTAAAAGCAATTATACAAACCCCACATATATTACAGATGTAATTTAATGCTTGAATAACTCAAATTACTTAGATTAAAAATAAAACCATGAAATATTAAAATATGGATTAAAAATTTCAACTGGGATATGGACTGTCATCCTACAGACTTTCCCTGAAAGAAAAAGATCATCCCTTTGAGGTTTTTCTTAAGTAAACAGCAGCACAATCCCAAAAAGAATCAGTTCTGGTACCTAAAGAGAGGTGTGGCTTTTTTCACCCTGCATATTGATACTTTCTGTCTTCCTTTCTTATGCTGGCTAGTACCTCTTGGCGCTGCTACTTTGGGAGTAATTCAGTGTCATGGTTTAACCCCAACCAGCGACTAGGACCAGGCAGCCATTCACTCACCCCACACCACAGTAGCATAAGGAGAAGAGAGAGAAAAAGGAAAAAAAACCAAACAACAAAACCTCATGGGCTGAGATAAAGACAGTTTAATAGAATAATAACAAAAAAAAAAAGGTAAAAGAATATACAAAATAAGAGATGCAATACAACTGCTCACCACTCAATGATTGATTGCCCTGCCCATTCTGAGCAGCCGTAGCAGATTCCTGCCAGCTGGCCAAACCCCAGTTCTGTACCGAGCATGGCATCTATGGTAAAGAGTATTCCTTTGGCCAGCATGTCCCGTCTATGCTCCCTCTCAGCTTCCGTGGAAACTGAAAAAGCCCTTTGCTTAATATAAGCATTACTTAGCAATAACTAAAACTGTAGGTGTTATCGTTATTCTCATACTAAATCCAAAACAGAGCAGCTACTGGGAAGAAAATTAACTCTCTCCCAGCTGAAACCAGGACACTGGGGGAAAAAGAGATTAATTTCTGAGTAACCTGCTAGAAACAGTCTCTGCAGTTGTGTCTTTTTCTCCCTCTGCTGTTGCAGGAGAGAGTGGTTGCACAGCGTCACTGAGGAGACCTACACATCATTTTGAGAAATATTTCTTTTTTACTGTAATTAGTGCTGTATTTCATACATACCATGTGCTGCAAGAAACTGCATTCATTAAGTTCTCACCCTCTCTTACATGTCCCTCTTCATGTCCCAGGCCTGGATTCCTATGCCAATCTCTTCATTACTAGTTCCACGAAAATCTACCATTAATCTAAATGTATCATTAGAATTACTTTATTTTAGCATCTCCCACATAGCGGCAGCTGCAAAGAACAAATGTTGATGAGCTCCACTTTTTGGAGTCTGAATGGAGGCTAGTGGAAAATACTGATAATGGTACACATGCAGCAGAGCTTCCAAAAAGATATGATCATCCTTCCTAATCATACAATACCTGAAGTGTCCCACATTTAGCCAGGAGCTATATCTTGCCATGTCACCTGGATGGCTTTTAGCAGGAAAAGTTAGTTTACCAATGTGCAAATATAGTGTAGAACAGGAATGAGACAGAAATCTTAATATTTTATGAAGATAAAGACTCTAGCTCTTGCTTTGGTTTCACAACATATACATAAGTGATATTATGTTTGGTAAAGCATTTCCTGACAGCCATTTGTCACGCAGTATTTCTTCGTATTTTTTTTTAAATGTCCCTTAATTCTGAAGCAGTCCTTCCAAAGCTATAGAGTGATAATTGGAGTTAAATCTTTTCTGATATCTAGAGTTCAGGATTTAGAGTAGTCAATTAAACCAGATTTAGTTTTGGTATGCAACATAACCAATTTTTGATACATAATGAGGATTTCTTAATTTTTTTTCCATTGTCATTTTTTTTGTTGAAAAGAAATCATCTAAATCATAACAGCTATCACTAATAATTTCATAGAATTTGAACACTGCATACAATTAATAAGTTTAAAGAACTTCACTATGTAATAACTGAAGTTTCTTGGGACATCCAACAGATGTTAACTGCAAAGTACAAGAAGTATGTTTAGTTATGATTAATTATTTTTGGAAGCACATTGCAACATTTTCAAAGTGTATCCCTTATTTGCTTGAGCATTATACAATTTACAGATGAAGGGATTTTGTTATTCTTTTATTGAAAAAAAATACATTTGATCAAAAGCACTGTGGTTTTTTATGTATACTTTGCAAAATGCTGAGATTTGTAAAGGAATAAATTTTTACAGGAATAATTTACTGCTTTACTAGTTTGAGGAAGAGGGGAGTAAACATTAAAGCTATTTTGAACCTTAATTTAATAAAGGCTTACATTTTCAGATTTGCTGGGTATTTCGTAAATTTTGCGATGAAATCTCTATGGGAATATATATTTTAAGGTGTTTTTTTTTAAATAGAAGACATAAGGTGCTATTCTTTTTCTGTTTACTAATTTGAAAATTGTCTAACATGAGAACACTTACAAGCATAGACAGCTATTTTAGAACAATGCTATTAAAGAACAAAAAGGGTAATTATAAATATGTCTATTAGATACTAGCTCAATTTCCACTCTTCCTGGTTGCCACAATTTCATTGTCCAGTTATTATTTAAATTCAAATTACTATTTTCTCTTGTTAATTATTTGAGTAAGGGCAGAGTTCATGTTGTCTGACAACAATATCAAACTGTTATGACAGGAGTTACGGAACATGCAGATGGGAAGACATATTTGCTTTCTCTGGTTTATATGGCCTCTGCCCTTAAATCTACAAATTCATTTGTGCTTGGCTTGTATGTGTTTTCAAAACTCCACACATCATTAAACTTTATCGAGTGTGTTAGCATCTCACACCCTTGAGTTAAACAAAAGCCTTCTTGAAAGAATATAGACTGCCTCCTCACTGTCCTTCATGGCTGAGAAATGACAAGCCAAATATTGACTTGTCCTTCATGGCTGAGAAATGACAAGCCAACTTGTCATTTGACAAGCCAGAACTGTTTTACCTGAAGCACTAATCAAAAAAGACAAAGTATTTTTTAATCATTTTAATCCACATAATTATTACTTTTTAATTATACATTAAGTATACAGACACTGAAAACAAAAATGTATGAAATTTGTCAGAACGTCTATTTTTCCTGATTTGGACTTAGCTTCTACTTTGAGGAACATTTTGTGTTCAGTAACTGACTTGACTCTTTTATTTAAAACTACCGGGAAAAGGGGAGGGAAGACTTTCTTTAAAGCTTTTTTTATTAGTTTTTCTTAATTTTTCTTTATGAAAATTAAAATCTGTCATGTTTGATGTGGTAATTTTTTTCTCTGACTTGGCGATAGTTGTCCGTCTTGTGTGGACAACTATAGATCAATTTTGTGACAGTTCCATTTTAAACAGTTTGGTCCCCTTGTCAGGACTAAAACTATAGTTTTTTCTGCTGAGTGTTTTCTGACTGTTTTAAGGAATCATTTATGGCCCCTAAAAAAACCTATTGTTGCATCACACCCTGCTAAGATGCAATTTCTGCAGCAATGTCCTTATTTTCTTATGTCTTCTGTGCATGCAGCCTGTCCCATCTCCCTTAGCATTTCATCATTGCATCTGTAGTCTAAGTCACACTCTTGTATGTCTCACGAAGACAAAGTGCTTATTAGGAGTTGTCATCCCTAACTGCTTACCAGAAAACAGACTGAACAAAGGACAGAAAGAAAGTGCTGTCATAAAATGTTCCTAAATCTAGTCTACAGAGCAAGGATGTTGGAAGTGAACACCTGTGTTCAGGTCTCTGTTTCCAGAACCAGGATTTGAATATACATCTCAGATGTTTTTGATGAGTGCTCTACTCTGCTACTCAGCCAAAGAGGCACCACTTCTTTTCATCCTGTGCCTGCCCTTTGTGTGCGGTAGGTATGCTCCAGGCATTCACAGCTGTGCAGTCCTTCTGGGAAAGACAGATGTGAAAACTCAAGGCTTAGACTGGCGCATAGATGGGAACTCAGGCTGTAGCAGGATTAGTGTTTATGGCCCAGGGGTGTACACTCAGCTGCTCAACTGTAGGCGCTGCAAAAGGAGACTGTCAGCATAAGGTTCATGTCACAACACTTGATGTTTAGTTTCAGACCTTCAGTTGTTTGCCCCACCTTGCAGTCACCTAAAGGAAAAGCCTGGCTAACTCTGCTAATGCACCCAAGTCTCATGGCACCGCTAAATGTCAGTTTATTGTTTTTTTAAGGAGGCACAATTTTTTTTGGTTTCTATTTTCTGCAGTTGCCCTGTTTGTTTCTACAAACTTACAGCACGACCTTTTTTTCATGAGGGTATTTTGAATGTAAGAAAACCTTTTGTGAGAACATCTTCCAAAGAAGAGCTATTTTTAAACAAGATGACACAGACCGAGTACCACCTACCGAATAGCACTTGCCCAGAAAATGTGGGACATTTCCGTAGAGATGTGAATTGTCATAAAATATTAAATTTCACTTCTTTGTGAGTATTTTCTTTGAAAACCAGTGTGTGACAATCCATGAATAAACAGATTTGAACAGCTTTTATTTGAGATACTGCTAGCTTTTCATTCTTCAAGTTTTATCAACTGAAAATGTGTTCCCTCTAAGCATGCATGATATTGCATGATATTTGTCCTGCTGTACTGTGGCTGGATATTGTGGATTATTTTTTGACCATGCCATTGGATTTGTAGTTTCAATTTCTTTCATTCTGTTTCTATCCAGATAGTGATAGAGTTGTCTGCAGCAACACATATGAAGACTAAAAAGAAAATGCCTGACTGGAAAATACAAAAATGTATATTCTTTTCATGCTGAGAAAGTTCATGGCAAGGAGTCCCTGAAGACCTGTCGTAGACAGGCTGCAGTTTGGGATTGACCTAAGATTGTTTTCTATCAGCCACTGTCTTTACCAGGAGTATGACATTTATTTGGGTCCAACAGTCCTTCAATGAAACTAGCAATTAGACAAAATCTGAAGTACCCATGAGACTAGAGATATACAATAATATCAATAGAGGAACCTAATTATTATTATTGTAGTATCTTAAAGTGTTTAGTTTATGGGATATGAAAAACGTGGAAAACTGTGATAGAAAACTATTATTTCCCACACGTTCATTTCAAGGCTTTTGGAACTCCCACCCAATCTAGTAACACTCCACCAGATTGCAAACTCAGTTCTAGTCATAAAACTTAATAAAATGGGTAGCTTATCAGTTTTCTTTGATTAGAGATTGGAAAAGTGTGGGGCTTTTATTAGGGAAAGTGGATTTTCATTCTGACATGGAATTTATTTCTGTCACCATTATTACATATTTACAGGACAGGTGATTCTTTTCCTTCTAGTGACAAATGCTTTCATTATTCTGTAGTTATTAAAATATTTATAATAGCATATAACTATGTTTGAAATGGAAGACCAGTATGCAGGTCTCTGTATATAAAGATTGAAAATATGCATAAATAAATGTAAATAATGCTACAGAATATTTATTCTGTAAGAATGCTATTAATTTTTTACATGCATTCCATGGGCTTCTAAGCTTCCTGAGTCATGTCACATGGTTGCCTCAATGCTGAATCGTAGATAAACTGTATTAAGATACTGTAAAAGACATAATAGTCTCCTGTGCTTTTCCGTAGCAACCCAGAGCCATTCACTGCACACTTCCTGGCAGGCAGCGATCCTGAGTTTCTTGTTCTGCCACAAGCTGGAGAACTACTTCCAGCAGGCACTGTGGGAACCCATATAACAGTGGGATTCAAGCCAAGGATGTACGGCAAGAAGCATACAGCAACACTTGTAGTTGAGGTAAGCCTTCCTGAATGCAATACACAAATACACCTTTAGGAGTGGAAGGGAAAAAAAAATTGTATATAACTCACACTGAATCATATATATCGTATATATACGTATATAAAATAATATATGTCATATATAAAAATCGTATATAAATCGTAAAAAAATCGCACTGAAACACACAAATGAATACACTGTGATGATTTTACTGGTCTCCACTATAGACAAGAATAAAACTAAATCTTGAAAATGAACTCATGACAAGCTGGAAAAACATATTACATTTTCATTTCTGTGCTACCCCATGCCTTCTCCACCAGAGACAGATATTTTGTCTTGATGTGTTTGCCCCAACTCCATAGACAACACGACAGAATGACTTTTCACAGAGAACCATGTTAAGAACTGGTGGAGAATATATAGGTAACTAAGCACGTGAGACCTGTGTTATTGATTTTACTTGTATTATACCTCTTAGGATCAAAGGCACTAGCAGCTGGATACTAAACAGTTGAAAGCAGAATTTTAGAACATGAAGCCATGAATAACTTTTTGAAAACCAGATCCAAAATAAACAAAAATAATTTGTAGCCAAGTAGCTTCTGTAAGTCTGAAGGTCAGGAAACATTTGAAGACATTTATTCCTTCAGTTGTAAAAATGTGGTTGTTACTGCAGGAATTAATTATTAATTCATCCTTTAAAAGAAAACTGGGGAAAACATACAGTAACAGCAAACACCCCAAACTCTCTACAAATCATGTTTTGCACTTTAAATCTATTGACTGTATGCTGACAATGTTTTCAGGCTACTATATTAGAAGTGAAATGGCAATATTGACTTAAATAGGGTGGTCAAAATGAAGTTGATAAAAAGATGCATAGAAAATAACTATAGTGTTTTATCTTTCTGAGTTACAACTTCTACAACAGTGAATAAGAAATTCAAATCCTGGAAAAAAAAGAAAGCACTTTAATCCCTCCTACTTGTTTTTTTTTACTGTATAAGACAGTTGACTATTTTAGTCTTTTCACTTAAACAGCAGTGATGCCTCTTCCATTTGAAAAATGATCGCTCTTCCATTTGAAAAAGAAAATAATTCACTGAATTTATACCATGTTCTTTTATATTTACATAATGCTATATGACACACCTACACTGCTCAGAAACTTTCAATGCAGCTCTGGAACTGAAATCTTCTTTTTAGGCATGTCACGTGTAAATGTGCTAGCCGTGTTTGTCTTTGGCTTAACTTCCAATGCTAACAAAGAGCTTTAACATAATGAATTTGTCTGGAAAGGGATAAAGACAATGGTCAAGGATTATTACTAGCTTTCTAAGAAAGCAGTCAGTAATCCAAAATTTCCTTGTAGGAATTTATCAGTTACTCAGCTTTGAGTAATTGCATTTTAACCTACATCTATGCACACCTCAGTCTCTGTTTGTGAGCTAGGCAGCTGGCCTACTTTACCCCTCCACCTTTGGTAGTGTGTGCAGGTGTAGGAAGTCACTCATACATATTGCATATACATGTCGGATCACATTTTGTCCTATCTGTTCCTGTACGTTCAAAAATACATTGAGGACTCTTGATGCTCGTAGGCACAGTTTGGACCAATGCTGTACCATCACAGTATATTAGAGATGTTTCTAACATTCTTACTCTAATTGAAGTATTAAGTTGTTTCAGTAACATTCTGATGAGGCTCATGTTCTCTTTGCTCTAATTGGCAGTCCTGTTGTGTGTACTGGACTTCCCCTTTTCCTCTCCCACAAAAGCTTTCACTCCTGTAGCTGTAATAATGTCAGCCAGAGTGTCTGCAACTGTGTGCAATTCTGATGCTGCGCTCACAACACTGACCTGAAATAAGACTTGATAACATGTTGAGAACACTGGATACTCATTTCTGCCTTTCTTGTTAGTTGAAAAAATTTTCATTACTGATCTGAAGTAAACAGGTTTCGTTAGATGTCAAAGCCAGTATTAAATCAGTCTTATTTGGGGAATAATAATGGAGGTAGTGAAACACAATTGATATTGGACCTAACACTGAAGAACCCCTCTTGCACATATCCTTTCTGGCCAATGTATTGGCTGAGGCTTTGAGTTATTTTTAGAAGCAGCGAGGAAGTTTCTTCCACAGTGTCACTTCTCTTCTGACACTGCTGTAGCAAAGGGCTACTGCACTCTTACTGTAAAATCTCCTTTCTATTTCTGGGAGTAAAGTCATAGTTCTAACACTAACGTATTTTTGTTATTAAGTTCTATGAATAGTGAGTAGCAGAACTGCCATTTTTGTGTGCTTCAATGAACACTGATAATTAGGTTGTAAAGTAGCAGAGATGACAGTATAAGTTCTTTGTTTTATGTTCATCATTACAATTGTGTTGTAAAGTTAAAATGGGAGGTTAGGATTATGATGAAAGATGCGACAGTCATCTTTTTCTCATTTGTTGTAAACATTAAACCCAAATATTGTACATGCACATTTTTTGGTTTAGTTGCTATGCTGAGAACCCAATCCTGAGAAGGCAATTAGAGTTAAGAGATTACAATTTGTCTTTGCTAGAATTTAGTGTGTCCATTTTATTAACAGAATGTATTTATATAATTGAAAAAAATGTAGCCTCATTTATATTTTATGCACACAAATCAGACACTTTATGGGGTATTTTGTGGATTCTTTAAGGTTTTAATATTCATAAATACTTACAGTAGATTTTATTAATAGCAGAAAACCTTAATTACTTTGCCAAAGCAATTAAATGTCTTTAACAATCATTAAAACTTCTGTTCTTAGTCAACTACATATCAAAACAATTGAAGCTAGACACTTATCTGAATAGCAGTTAGGAATCTTAATTTTGTAAAAGTGGCACAAAAAATTACTTAAAAAAATCTGTAGATCAAAGAATGAAATATAATAAAAAGCCAGTGAAGAAAATAATCATGCTTGTTTCTGTAGCTGTGAAAAAGAACATCCTAATCTAGTCGAGCTACAAGTAAGAAAGAGTGACATAGTGCATGAAGAGCATTTTAAAATAGGTATTATTCCATAATCAAACTTCCACATTTATAATAGCTTTCATAAACAGTGCAATTCTACCTGAATAAAAATGTATTGCCCCTAATGATAAACTAGAGAGCATGTTTCTTAGATAAGCTACAAAGTGCTGTGAGGACAAAAAAGGACTTCCTCAGCCTCACTGATGTCTCAGGGCTCAGCTGTGATGTGGCAGTAAAGCTGCACAGAAAACCAACCGAATTTAGGGAGAGCAAGATGCAGCTGGGACAGAGGGATGTTCTGTGAAAGCTTCCCGGGGTAGGAATCCCTACCAGGCACGAGATGGAGCATCTGAGAGGCTGGTAAATCCTTGGAAAAGGGCATATTCAAGTTGGCTTACACATAATTTGCTTGCAACATGCAGAATTCAGCTAGAGACCTGAGCAATTGCTTTGTAATTCATGGGTGAGAATTCAGAGCTATTCTCAAGCAGAAGGCACACAAAATAAGTCTTAAATGATAAAATAGATGTCAGAGTTAACCAGATTGCAGGTAACATTATCAAGCCCTCCAGAAGTCAGGCTTGTGCACCTTTATTACTGAATAATCACTAACTTAGCCTATGGAAGATAGCATATCAAAACCATTTGTCATGCTGTTCTGGAAATAAATGATGCAGTGTGCAAGCCACAGTACCCACGTGTGGCTTCTCTAAGCTTGTCTGTGCAAACTTGCATATCTTAACAAAAAATGGTACCGTTACATATTCAGTAGCTTGGTGAAAATACATGCTGCCATGTTCCTGGTAGATTTGTTAATTACCATAGTTTAATGTTATTCTAAATTTTCTCTCTTAAACAGAATGAGCAAGGAAAAATGTAAGAAAGTTAATAGGATAATTGGAATAGTTTCACAGTAAATAAAACATCACCTGTGTCCCTTGCCACTGGTTGTTGAGCTGAGATTTATGATTAAAAGCAGAGATCCAGAAAGCCCACTACAGGCAGTGAATGTAGCATATCCTATCATTAGCATCACTGGATTTTTAGTGCAGAATCGATACTCAAAATGTTTGATTCACAAGGTTACTTTGCTTATTGAGAATATAATTCTCCCAATTCCAAAAGATGATAACAATATGGGAACCACTGCTGTACGAGGGTATTCAAACTATTGCCAGTTCTGCCTTTAATTCTATCTGGAAATGTTCTTCTAAGCTAAGAAAATGATTGTTAGCCATCTTCATTAGAAATTGCTCAAAGCCTGGTCTGCTTGCGTGAGGTGGTGAGTGACTGCCTTTATAGCACCTGGTTTTTCTTGGTTTTTTTTTTCCCCCCTTTCATCCACTTATTAAACTGTCTATATGTTAAATCCATGAGTTTTCTTGTCTTTGCCCTTCCCTTCCACAGTTCACATAAAAGTCTGGTTTAATTTTTATTCTGTATACACTGATCATAACTGTCATTTTTCCTGTGTTTTAGCCTTTAGTCTTGCAAATTTTATTTGGAATATCCTGAGTTAACAGTTTGGAATGCCATTTGCCTTAAATAATACCATTTACCTTAAAATTCGTGATACTTGCTCACAACATTTAATGCACTCCTAACATAGATTTCTCTGGCAATTAATTAGCATGTAATTCAGTAGTTCTGCCAGCCTACAGTGAATACACATGGATGGTCTGTGTTCTGCAAATTAATCCTATGAATCATGAGCCATCTGAAAAAATTGATTGAATACCAAAAAAAATATACTTTTATATAAATTATTTGGTGACTGTTACCAGTATTTGCTGAATAAATTACTTCATGAACATTACTCAGTCAACCATCAAGATGGTTAAATAACTTACTTGAATAACTTATGTTATTTAATAAAAAGTGGCAGCATGCATCTCATTTTTGAATTCTTAAAAATATTCTTCAGAAAGATTTAGCTCTGCAGATGGCCATTACTCCAGCCAGGTGAGCCAAATTATTACCCGCTTCACACTGAAATTAGGTTATAGTCATCAGGAACTTTGAGGTTTTGATAAGAGGAAGTCATTCATTTCAAGAAGAAATCCTCTCTCAGACTGTCAAGGACATTCAGGCTGTGCTCTGGTCTTTCTTCTTAAATTGTGTGTGAAATTGGTCTAGAGATGCATGCAAGCAGCCTGGGATTCTTAAATACCTATGTATGTTTATATTAGATATATCTTCTTAATACAGAATCTCTTTTATATTTCTGGTTCAGTAGATCATATAGATTGTAGTAGATTCAACACCTTCATCTCTAGACTTTTTTACTACCAGTGCTAGTATTAAAATTGTTCCAAATTTGATATGATAAACTGCCCTGCTTTAAGCATAAGAAGAGGAAGATTTCCTCTGATTTGGCAAATTTTGACGCAGTCAATTTGCTTACAAGCAACTACGGCTTGTAAGTAAAATATTCTATCATAATTATATGGTCACCTTTTGAAGTCTCTCTCTCTCCTCCTCACCACTCCAAAAGAGTTTGAAACTTGATCCATCTTCTCCTTTGCTGAAACGTGTCTGACATGGAGACCCAAAGCAGCAGCTTTGAGGCACAGATTCTGAGACTGGTAGTTTTGCTCTTGCTGCAGTTTTCATATTGGTTAGAATAGTTGTTGTAGTTAAGCTGTACAGCCTTACCCTGAAGAAAATACTTACAGCTTCAGCAGCATGTGAAAACCTTATGTTTGCCCTTGGAAATGAAACATTGCAGTAATATAGACATTTGTGGGTGTCTAAGGTTTTCTGAAAATTACTAAATTCTAGGCTGTCTTGGAAATTACTGAATTATAGGTGGTTCTAGTGCTAAACAAACACCAACCCAAATTATGTTGACAGTTACAGTAACGCTTGTGTACCCTTTAGCAGAAAATGCTGAACTAAAACAAGAGTCTTTCAGTAAATTACTATATAAATGCACATTTTTTCCCCACTTTCTATCTTGGATGATAGCACATGATTTACAATAGATGAACTACAGCAGTTCAATATTATAAATTAGTATTCTTTATTTTTTTTCTTCTAGCTTGACAGATTCTGTCTAAAAGGTTCGTGTCCTAATGTCCAAAACATTTTCCCCATTGTACCCAATGAGTTACCATCAGGGAAAGAGCAATCTCTGCTGCCACAGAACCACACTTGATGCAGGCTACAGCAGCAGCAGAATAGGCAGCTTTTTTCACTATGTCAGGCCACAAATTTTTTTTTTTTTTCCACAGAATGTAGAATCTAAGACATTTGTAGAGCAAACAGGAAATTAGCAAAAGTTTATACCCAGAAGGCTCTATCAATTGTTTGATGCTGATGAGTAATGGAGTTGAGAGGTGGCACAGCTCACCACTTTTGTTTAAATCCCACTTCAAACAATTACTAACACTATAGACAGTAAAGTTACAATATTTTTGGATTTCATGAACAGAAATTATTTTTAGTAACTTGATACTCAGTTTAAATTGTTGGCTGAAACACCTATCAGTTCTTTTCTCTGACCTTAAAGTGCTCAATGAGACTTCCAGACAGTGAATATGACCCTGAGGTTAAGTTTTCTTAAATTGTTCAACTGGTGTATTAAAGAAAGATAGAGCATTTCATCTTGTACTGAAGTTAATAAAACATTTAGCGAACTTTGGAGAGCAATTTACTTTTCTTAAATGACAACTTTATCTTTGGACATAAGATACTGATGCTGGCCCATGTCACACCTGCCTTTTCTGGATTTTATCTTTACAGGCGGTAGAGCTACTAGATCATTTCACAATATTAAATAAGGTTGAGAATAAAGATGAGTTAATCTGCCTGTTTTACAAAGGAATAATATTCAATTTAAATTAGATTTTGATTTTAGCAGAATAGTAATGGCAGTTTAAAAAATTATGCATGCATGGTGAAATATCTATTAAGATCTTATGCTTACTAATCTTATTTGAATAAGGCAATTCATTCAGAAGACGCTATGTAAAATCAGTACTGCCAATTTTGAAGTAGAGGTTTTAAAAAGCGCTTCTTAAAAAATACACAGTAAAAAAAAGTCACCTATTCTGTCAACATTAGCACAGAAAAATAAATATTCAATTACCAAAATACCGATTAAAACCAATTGTCAAAGAGGAAGCATGATAATTAGAGAGTCATATGGTGATGACATTTAAGAGCTGTAAGTGTATGCAGCCTATATGTGAAATAGTGTAAATGCTGTATAAGTTCATAGCAGAAAAGAAAGCCTGTGCCAAGTAGTTTACAGTTTAATGGTCTGAAACGTCTGTTGAATAGCTGCAACATGAATGCAAAACTGCTTTCAATGATAGCCCTTAAACATACTTAGCAATGACAGGGTAACAACTGGAATGATAGGAAGGAGCATATGAAAGCTAACAAGGGTAAACACCATCAGTTCCACCTTTTACAGTGGCAAATATAAAATTGATATTTAACAAAACTTAATGAAGTCAGAGAGCCACTTTAGCATCTTTTTTATTCACTTCTGTATGTTATAATCATGGGATGACTATAGAGAAAGTTCAAGATGGTGAAATTTGACTGCTCTTCTCTATGACTTTTTAGTGCTTTACCTAGACCACAATTAATTGTCAGAATGCAATAAATAACTAGACAAATATACACACTATACTTTGGAGATGGTTGATAACATTTATGCTATGTGAAAATTTGTCACAGTTTGTATGGATATTGTTGCTCCTCTCCATAGGCCGAATCTGTTAGTGTACTGACATGCTCAGCAGCAAAGCAAAGTAGACCTCTCAAATTGGAATGTGCCAATGGGACACAAAGCCACCCATTTTGGAATCTGGGCTGCTAACTAAATGCTTGAGGGAAAATCTCATGAGCTTTGAGGTTGACTGTTGTGCTGATTTGAGAGTATATGCAGCCTTTCTGACCTCTTGTTTCCTTGGATAAAAAAATAACACTGATGTTAGGTGTAATGGTTACATCCGCAAATGATTGTTCTAAGGATTAAGGTAGTTTTAAATGGGACGTGAATTATATAAATCACAACTTTTTTTGTAATGCTAGATCTTTATGACTTGAAGCAGGGGAGAAAGGTGATCCTACAAACCACGTTTCTGTAGTTCAATGCAGCACAACATAACAGCCCAGCACCAACAAACTTGCTCTAGAACCACAAGCAGCACAGTACTGTATCAAATGTGGAAAGACAGATTTTGGGAATTTGGAAATATTACTTATTTAATATGACTCCACTGCTTTGAGGCTGAGAAGTCATAGAATCTGGTGTTCTATGTACCATATACTATGTACATATGTACTATATACGTGCACTAGGTTCTGTATAAAAAAAAAAATCACTTGTATTAATATATTTTAATAGACCTACATCATGCCATATTTTTTACTCAGTGTGCCCTACAAGTTTTGCCTTAGAAGCAAGAAAAAGCCCCAAACATAAAACCTATGATTTCCAATTGCTGAGTGCGAAGGTATAGACGACAGTGCCTGGCTAAATTGGGCATGCAAAGCTTTGTCTTTCTTTTGCATAGTACAAATGAGGACATAATAAAAAAATCATTTGAAATCTCTGAGTTTTATAATACTTTTATTGTCTGTTTGTGGTTTGTAGATTTTTTTGTTTGTTTGTTTGTTGGATTTTGTTTTAATTGAAAGGAGAACAGAAAACTAAAAGCCATGAATAGACTTTTTCCTACATGTAATGACAGGAAAATGCTAAAGACTTGGAATAAAGGCCTGCTTTCAAGAATTGAAGTGATACATTTTGAAAGAAAAATGACTGAAAGATCTGCAGTAGTTTCACTTGGGTTTTTAGCAAACAAAATTCTGCTTCAGGACACAAATGAAAGATGGGAGATAGACAGCAGTATAGCCTTAATATGCATAGAAATAATACTCCTTAAGTATGGATAGATGGGATGTTTAGTAAAAATAAGAATCACGTACTCAGTAAGAATCAAGAACTCAAGCATTACAAGACATGACATAGAAACATATGCTCCATTCCTAGAGACCAGTTATGAACAGAAAGCAAATGAAGAGTGCCAGTTTCAATTCACATAAATATTCTTCAAACTAGAGATTTCAACACAAAGCTGGAATTCTCTTGTGCACAGTACTCCGTTAGTTTTGTTCATTATTTGAATGCAAAAATTCCACCATTTGAAAATACCATTATTATCAATACCAGAGCTACAATTAAATTCTACAGTTTAAACCTGAGGCATTTATACTGTACTATGGAATAATTACCTTTGAACAACATACAGAGCTATGGGGTTTACTAAATAAAAAAGGAATTTTAGATCAGTTGGGAAGCTAAATTTATGTCTGGTCCTGAATAGTACTGAATGTGATTTCAGTTCTCAGTGTTCCAGGAATGTAATTCTCATTCTCTGTTATCCCAGTACCTTACATGGAAAAGGATAAATGTCTTTTGAAATCAATGTAGCATGCTAAGTCATTGCCAAAAATTTTCAAGGTATTTGATCACTGATTTTTTTTTTTTTCCTGTGTCTCTGTTCCTTATTTTCAGACACAATCAATGCAGTGGATGTATGAAATCAATGGACTGCCTCCACAGACCGTACCACCTACGAGGCGAGCAAAAGTGATTTCCACCAGCAGTTACATAAGATCAGCCACAGTTCGGCAGCGCAATTTTTTACATGAAAATCTGAAACTTACAACCACTGGAGTATCCTCACCAATCAAGGGGGCACCTTTGGTCCTGAGGACAACATCAAGAAAGTTATGATTGGTTATTTTTTTGGTGACAGAAGACATTTTTGTCAAATAAATTCTGCATATAAAAAGAGCATATGGGTTTTGTTTTTGTTTTTTTTTTTTTTTTTTTTAAAGCAGATATGATGTGCCCGGATTGTATACTTTACATGGAAGATTCAGAGTGTCTGAGCTCTAATAATATTCTTATTGTTCTATGAAAGATTTTCAATGCTTACCTAACGGTTTTTATATATCATACAGATTTCAGCTAGTTCTAATGGGAAGAAACTTTTAGTTAAAAAAATATGCTTGAAAATTGGGGATTTCATACAAATACTTTGCTTTCTAAGGCTTATTAGTTTATGAAGACTTTAATAGGAAGTCTTTAATATGAATGCTCTCTGTAATGTTCAACATATTATTCCCACGCAAACCAAGCAAGCAAACCAATCCCCAATCTCTTTCATGATAAAATCCTTAGCCAAAGTTTGCAGTATTTTGCTAAGGTGAAACGTATTTACCTGTCATATGTCTTCAATGCCTTTCAGATTCTCTTGCTTTGGGAAATTTTATTAATTATGTCATCTTAGCTTTGTTTAAAATAAGAATCTTGATTTACTCATCCCATTGCCCTTAAAAAACTTGGATAATTATACGTTACATAGGATCAAAATAAAATGTCTTCCTTCAGTATTTTTTTGTTGATTAAATTTTAAAAAGGGCTTTAGAGTATTGAAATAGTCGGCTATGAAAAGTCATTGAGGAATAGAGCCAGATTTTACTTTTATTTTCTAAAATAAACAAACCAGAGGTGCCATTCATATTGTGCTTCTATTTCCATTCTTCCCACCCATAGGTGACTTTAGATGGGTATTTCATTGCTCTCTATGTAATGTAGAAAATCAGATCTATGCGGATGTGTGTTGTAAGATCACTGGATGGGTAACTTCTGCCTTCTTTCTTCATTAAGATTGTTGTTCCTGATTTTACTAATAGAATGTAAATTGCATTCATGCCTTTTTTGGATTGTGGAACATACTTTAACAATAAAATGGCTTGGCAGAGATTAAGTGCTTTCTTGGCACAAATACACAGTGCGCATCATTGCTCAGAAATGGGGAGCCTGAGAGCAACCTGTGCAGGTCAGTGTAAATGAGCACCAATAAAAAACATTTTACTGCAATGTGCTTGAGGATTTTGTTTATGTCACACATTTTAGAGAAACCATTACAGAAAATGTTGGGAACATATAAAAGGAGATATTAAACAGTGCCATTGCGGTTTTAAATGCAGTGTGCCCCATTTTGGTTAGAAAACAGGTAATCTAAAGCAAGGATAAAATCTGCCTTACAAATTTAGTACACAACACAAGAAAGAGATTGTCAATACTGATATATATCTAAAAGACATTAAGAAACTGTTGCAAGATTTATCTTCAATGCTACTGGAAACACAAATACAGCCAGATTTCATAGGAAGGCTCAATCTATATATATAAATGAATCAAGCGTTTCTCTGACTGTAAGAATTCAGAATTTATGGATCAGAAATATGCAAAGGTTTCACAACTGATTATTGGTCTGGGTGTTCAGGAAATATTTCAGTGACAACTTTTCTTTGTAAAAGCTTTGCTTTCCTTATTTCACATTTTTTTTAACTTTTGCTTTCCTATTTAAAATGACAGCTGTTTGCAAGATGCTCAAAACTTTGTAATTCTACCAGAGATGGATTAGCAGGTGACATATGGGTGAATTACTCAACAACTAAAATGGTGCTCATTCCAGAAATTTTATTTCACAATTTGCTTGCCTGCACTTGTTGCTACATGTAGCGGATTTTAAAATTCTGTCATACATTTCAACATTTTAAAAAGCCCATATACAAATATTTTATAATAATATCAGAGGGGTGCTTTCAAAGGTACAGTTTAATTATATTATTTGTATTAAAAGGAAAGCATAATCTATGCTTTCTGGACCAGATTTAATTTTTTCAATGTGTTCAAGTTCAGTTGTGAGTTATGCAAAATATGCCGTCATCAATTGAATTTGTACCTATTCTTAAAAATTAATTGCACTTTCTTATTTCTTACAGAGTTTAAACAGAACTAAAAATATTTTTTTCTGATACTAGGAATGTACTTTCAAAGGTGATTTAAATAAATACCATTATATCTGTATGGTTGCAATGTCCACTATCTTTTACATATTATCTGCATGCATTTATGGATTATACTGACTACATACACTGTCTATTAAAAATAACTTCCATTTTACTTACTGGCTTGATGCTTTGCACTTCTGTCAGTGATGTGACTGTATTCCTTTTAATGCAAGGGCTAATTCTAAGTATATATCTTAAAAAACAGTTTCTAAGCAGCAGCCCTGGAAGACTTCCAGAATGATCAGCTTTATTCATTACTTACTCCCTCCTTTTTACTATACTGAGTCATATTGAAAATGCTGGAGTTTCAACTCAGGGAAGGAAAGACCTGCCATGAGAAAAGATTATGAAACGCTGCTTTTGTTATTTAAACTCGGAGAATTCCTCCCAAAGCTTTTGGACCCACCATGAAATCCAAACTTCAGAACAGCAGGGCAAGCTGCTTGCCATCAACCCACACCTTAGAAACATAATCTGCAAAGGAGTTTAACTGTTGGAGATAGTTCTAGACACAATTGTTGCAGTAAGGGCTCAGGACTGAAAAAAGTACTCCAAGTGATTTAGCTTAGAATTTATTCTAAATTTCTATTTATTATAATAATCTTCTTACAAGAAAACGGGAGAGAATGAACATAGCCTCAAGGTTATGGGTTTTTAAAAACCCTTGCAATGTTTTCTGTGCCCTCATTCCACACCAGATCAGCCACTAACAGACAGGAGAAGAGAAAAGCTTAACTTTGTTTCTCCGCACTAAAGCACCCTTCAGGATCCTTTTATTCTGAAAAGGATGAAAAAAGGAGCATCTCCCTTCACATTAATCTATTTGCAGGTACAGATCTCAGGGAAATGGGGGGATATTGGTTATTTCTGAAAAAAATAGCTCTTCATTTCTAATCACTAATTTTGATTAGAGGTCTAAAATGACTTGTACCAACCCCAGCTACATATTTTCATATCTATAAATACAAAAATCACAAGACAAAGGCAGTTTTTCAAAGTCAATATGTCACTTAAGTCCAATGTCATAATAGTATTACATTACACATGACTCAGCTGTGCACCTGCTTATTACTGTTTTAGAAGAAATACTAGTTGGCTAACCTGTGTAGTCACCACCAGTTTACCAAATTTCTTCTTCCCTTGCCTCTTTTTGTCTCTCTATAGTGATTAATTTTACAGAGTAATTTAAATAAGGATTAAAACCTTGTGAAGGACCATTATTGTGTAATGTAGAACTGATTACTTTGAGAATGGGTTCTACATTTAAATTTATTACTGAAATACTGTGCAGTGTTTGCAACTGTTGAGCTCCTGTTTTTATGTGACATCTCCAGTAGTGGGGACAATCTGCCCTCAGGGATTGCAGGACTACAGTCAGAGCACTAGCTTCAAAACAATACAGAAGCAATCAAACTTCTAATTGTTTGTTGTTGGGCTGAGCTTTATTTGGCACAATACCACATTAGAGAATGACACAAGGATAACATTGAAATGGATTTAGGATCCTTGCCCTTAACAGCTCAATTTGGACTGGGTTTTGCTGCCCCATAACTCAGAAGATTTCAAGATTGCTTGTTCTACTCATGTCTGGCTAGCCATGGTATCAGTGACACTCTAAGACTATTTTGTACCCAATCTCACTAGTTATAAAAAGGTTCTAGAGTATCAAACTGGTTCTTCAAGAATAATAATAGCCTAACATTAACTCCTGTGTCAGTGTAGATTTTGTCTGAGTCAGGAGAATTGAGAGATAAGACTGCTTTAAGCACAGAAAGTAATCATGATCAGGTAAAGAGCCTATTGAGGCATGAGGCCATACACATTTCTACTGCCAGCTGCAAGGAAAGGTATTATTTTAAGACAGCTCTTTGGGACCAAAGCCAGGTTATCAGAGGACGTAATGCTGAACCAACAATGTTCCTACTTGAATAAAATAACATGCCAGCAGCCAAAACTGAGCATGCACTTTTTTTCCTCTTTGATCACAAACCCAAACTATCAGAAGAAATGGAAACTTCTGACTCATCCTGCTCATAGCAAACACCAGAAAAAAAATAATCATTCTATATTAATAAGTATTCCTAGGAGGAAGGCTTAATATTTAGAATAAGAAAGAAAATCTCTGGCTTTGCCTTACTATTTATTTGCTTGTGAGGCTTTTAATAATTTTATTTCTCCCAGCAGTGACTGCTCATTCTAAAATAAATGACTGAACAGTGCTTTACTGCTGACACAGATCACAGTTTGTTGCTAATGGAATGTTAACTGCTTTTTAAGTAACTCTGAATAAACCTGCTGATCCATAGAAGATTCATCTAAGAAGAAATCCAATTAATCTACTAGCTTTTCTGCTTCCATTGACATGAAACATATTCTTATGCAGTTTACGTTGCTGCAGTGATAGTGTCAAATTTCCTATAGTAGGATATTTTACATTTTGAGACCACAGTGTGATGACAATGTGGTGAGTTCATGGCAGGACGTGGATGCCAAGGTCACTGCACAGAAGTTTGTCCAAAAAGCACTGCTTGGTGGCTAGAGAATTAAAGGGAAAGGCACAGGGCAAGGATAATCTTTGAGAGTTTTTTTTCCTCTTTATTCCAGGACTTATCTCTTTTCTGCAAAGTATCCAGTTTCTCAAGGTAAAAAAAAAAATAATAAATTCTGTCAGTGGAAGACCTGATAACTCACTGCTCATCCCACCGTATGAGTACATAGCAGATGCCACCAAATCAGTCTGGCACAAGTCTAAGTGACAAAAGAAAATCAGAAATATAGAAAAGGATAAGGCAAAAAAGTAAAATCCTCCCACATATTGAATGAATAGTGTTGGTGTTCATCCCATGAGATCCAATTTACCAATCTTTACAGAAATCAAAGGCTCAGTTTTTCCATTAATAATAACATTTGAAGGGTGTCTTTGC